CACCTCACCTCTGTCTCAGAACCCATGCCCCCTGCATTGAAAAGTGCAGCCTCTGACTACTTTCCAAAACCTTGGCGTGGCCCCTCATCAACAATGAATGCCCACCACTGGTTTAGAGGGAGATGAGGCTTTAGTATAAGTGCAAATAAGTCTGTGATGAATTTTATAACAAGTAGGCAGGGGCATTGAGTTCTGTGTGTCTAAGGTGCCTCAGTTCCAGGAATATTCCTGGCCTGGAGCCCTGCTCCTGCAAAGTTTGGGGCCAGGTCTATGCCCTGGCTCCCCATGGTGCCCCTGCAGGCCTCCCCCAGTGTGTCCACTGGTCCCTCCTGCCAATCCCGGGTGATTTAAAAGAGCCTGTGGGCCTCCACGTGAGGGGCTAGAGCAGCTTTCTGCCTCTCCCACTCCACTCGCAGCTGCTGGAATGTCTCTGCAGCCCCTGGGTTGCGTGTGGGTGTAGGTATCCACATGCTGTCCCTGTGGTAAATGGGAGCTGCATGGGTGGTACCTGCAGGTATGCAGAAATCAGCTCTATTCCCTGCCTAGGAGCTGCTGCTGGGGGTGGGAGGTGCTTCAAGGAAGTGCAGTATCTCCTCCCCCCAAATTCTCTCCCAGAATTGGCATCTCTTCCCCCCTGCATGTTGTCCCACTCCCAAACTCCCTCCCAGAGCCTGCACCCATCACCACCTTCCTATGCCAGCCCTAATACACAGCACCCAAGCTCTCTCTCAGGTAGGGATTTGGATGGTTAACCCGTTAATTGGTAAGTCTCTCCCTTAATGAGCGAGGCTTACTAGTTCCGGTTAAGTAAAATGAATGTTGCGAGAACTACAGGTCCAATGATGCATACCCAAGGGGGAAGGATAGAACCAGGTGGACCATTTTAGTAAATAAAAGATATTTATTTATGATAGTGATGGATTTATAGTATTTATTCTAAGATTTTTAATAGACCGTGTTAATAATGAATTTACAGTATTTATTATATTTATTCTATGATTTCTAGTTAAACGTGTCCGAAATATGGGAATGGCAAGGGGAATAGTCTCTATTCTAAAAATATCCAGCTGCACTAATTAAATAACAGTGATAACTACAAACTCTATGTACTACCCAAAACAACTATAACACAGCTTATACAATGAAGAAAATCAAATCATATGTACCAACTTACATAACACACGGAACATTTCAAAGATTTCAATTCGGTTGTGAAGGCCTTGGTTACGCCCGAGAGTCGGGGGAGGTGGCTGGTCAGTTGGTCAGGCCGGCAGCGCTTTGAAGTATATGGGAAGGCACATGTACAGTGGTACGTGTGTTGCGAAGACCCCCTCGAGTGAACTGTGCGATGGGTATTTATCCCCAAATCTGCACATCACTTTCCCGCGCTTGCATATTACCATATACGGCTCAACTGTCACCAAGTGGAGGTCTGTGTCCCAGGGGTTGGGCCGAAACTGTGCAGGTTTCATGCGACCAGGTAAGCCCCGCAGTTCTCATGCCAAAGTGACGGGTGGGAGAGTCTGAGGCTATTTTCCCCTTTTCACACCTTCCCTTTTTCTAAAGGCAATGGTATGCAGGAAGGGTGCGGCCGGTTTCTCCCAAGGAGTACTGCAGCCCACTATAGCAAGAGCGGCCTGGCCAAACTTTTTACTGGGGGCGGGGGGGTCTTCTTTTCTCTGACAGTTCTGGTCAAGAATACTCAGAGGCCTATGAAATTAGCCTTTGTTAACTTTTCTTAGCATAAAGTTGACCAGGCCTTGTTTTTCTGGGCCCAACAGGCTGATGATGGCTTTTAAGAGATTGTAAGAGCCCAGCAATTTTGTGAACCTGGCCGACAATTTGGCGGCTCACTCGCTAATACCCCTTTTGCTTCTGATTTAATAAGCTGAAAGCCTAGG